TTGAAAGCTGTTTGATAAAATAAGAAGTCCTACTTTATAGTCCGTGTTTATATTTCGTCAGATTTAGAGGTTAGTAAAAACTTGTTTTCATTGTTTGAAATTACTTGAAATGAGCTTAGAACTAGATTAGAACTGAAGTCCGGCTTTGATGCTAGAAAAACCGAAGTTGTTGTTTTGCATTGAAAGAAATCATTTTATAAATAAACAGTTCTTACTTTGATCATTAGTTGGTATAAGTTGTTTTCTGTTTTATTGTAGTATTTATGGGTAGTGTTTTCAGTTTCATTGCTAATGCGCGATTTGTAAACTCATTTTAATATTAAAGCTTATACAGTGACACGAGTTTGTTCTTTTGCTTTTGGACATTATTTATATTGAAAATCGTTCAAAAAGAGGTTAAAAATATACTGGTGTGTACTTTGACACTTGTATTTCAGTGTGTTTTATGATTAACTTATATGTATGGACGAAACTGTAGCATAACTCGCTGGTAGCGAGCGAACCCTATTACGCCTAATCAAGATACGCGACTCACACGAACTTAGCAAATTTCAAGGGTTTTCAAGCTCTGTTTAGCACTTGAAATCATGGAGACTTTTTGAGACTTTTTTGACTGTAACTTCGTATGACTTATTTTCTATAGATCTGACTTAACAAAACTTAAATAGCTCAAAGAACAAGTGTAAAAACAGCACTTTTTTTGAACCGATCGTCATGTTATATAACTTAAATTGAAACCGCGAATGTCAACTACAAAACAGCAATTTTCTCATACTTAAAACAAACATTACTTCAAAAAATTAAGAGAAATACAAAGRAAATTAATCAGACAGCAAATATTTTCGGAACTTCCCTTGTTAAGATGCAAAAAAGACAATTTTCTGGACCGGAAACTCGTTACTACCCGGCATATCACCGGAAATAGTAGCCATTTTGTCAACAAACCACGCCCGCAAAGCATAAAGGGATACTACTGATATCTCCTCTGCGCCGAATGTTATGTTATCTGCGCGCGCTCTTAGAAAAATGCGGATTACCTGTGTTATTACGTCACGGTCCCGTTCCTCGCGGCTCTCCTCGCACCTACCATATCTAATATAAATCAAGCAGCCAATGCCGACACAGCTCGAAGATTGTTAGACAAGTATGTATACCGTGTATCTGTATGAAACCCCAGATTTTGTTCAAATATGGTCTATTTCGACAAAAAATCTATAAGATGAGAATATTGAACTTGAAATTTTGAATTTAAATTTATAGGCATCCGTAAATCGACAATGAATTATCAGAACCATGACAATTTCTTAGGTTGAAGTGATGATATCTTCACTTTGAATGCTGACCGTTAAACTTTATATTTTGAGTTCTTACTTGTTGTTGTGTCGTCCGTGCATCGCGATTTTACGAAGGATAAAGTTTATATGAATCGATGAGTTAAGACACGTGGATCGGAATAATTACCCGACCKCGTTCCCAGTGCCCTCTCTGTAGCTATTTTCAAAATGGCGGACGCTACAGCGAAGACCCTGGAAAACACTGATTATCACGTGATCAAATGCTCCAAAATTCCAAATTAAGGCAAGATTGTCATTGGATGACTCACCGTTGGCTTCAGTTTTACCGACGATAAAAAACGACTATCTATAGCATTTTCCCGGTATTTCAGGCGGAAGGAACATGATCGGAAGTTCAAGAATCAAGGTAAAAAATTCGTAAGATATTCTTGTTCAGTTTGCTGTTATGTGCAGTTCGAGTCGTCCCGGGTCAAATATCGATCTTTTGTCGCGTCCATTCAGGGTTATTTATTTTGTATTTATTAAATCGGATTGCTTGTATGTAGACTAAATTTGCTGTTAAACCAATTAAATATACAGATTAACTGATTAAGTTATAATTAATCCGAGCTTTCGCTGTCTACAGCATTATCAGGGAATGAGCGAGAATAAAATACATAGAACTAGACGCATAACTGCGTAAACTCGGGGTTCTTGTTGATAAAATAGTAGTGAATTTGGTAAGGCTCGTTTACACTTGCGTGTTTGCTATATATTTACTATATAATTCGCTTTTGATAAGATAGGTAGCTAGTTTGATAGACAATTCATGATATGCAGTAATATAAATATCACAATTTTAATAACTTAAAAGTCATTTAGAGAAATTAAAAAAATAACTGTGTCTACGCCAACTTCGTTTTATTAAAAGAACATGAACTTGAAATATCAAGACAATAACAACAATCTTATTATGTCATTTTACATGTAAGACAAAATTAAGATAAACMTCTTTTGACAGATTCGATGATAAACAACCCATCTTAGCTTTAACTACTTTTGTTATGTAA